ATACAAAACAAAGGAATCGGAAGAGTACCTCAAACATTGACAAAGTACCACTTCGGTAGATTTCATCACCAGGGGGATGCTTAAGGTCACACTTCCTCTGCAAAGAAAAACAAATAGATTAAACAAGTAAAAACAGAATGAAATGCTTCTGGAATGAATTCGACAAAGATATGAAAGCGGGTCAAATTAGCATGAACGAATAGAGTATGCGAATGAATCTGATAACCTGAAACTCAAATTGATGTTATACCTCAAAATCAAAAGATCATAAAATGATCAAAGCTAAAAACGACCAAGTTGCTCACCATATGTCTTTGAAGCTGCTCCTTGCGCTTCATAAAATTCAAACAAAACTCACAAAAAAAGAGCTTCACACAGTCGTTGTATTCTGGTGGAAATGGGGAGAAGTACCATGTCTCAATCTCGTATTTCCCAAGCTCAATAGTTGCTATGTTTTTCACTTTTGTGAACTCTTCATGTTCACGCAGACTAGCAGCATCTAGCTCCTCATGACCCTAAATAAACACCGGAAAATACTAAGTACCGCTTTAGTAGAAGGTTTGCGTTAACATGACTGACCTCCGAGAAGAATATCAAGAACCCGAAAACAATTGCTTTGCCAGGCATACAATTACTGGAGGCATCTTCAACATATCACAATCATATCAACATGAGTAAGATGGCATACGAGATGCTAAAGTTATTTTTAACAATGAAACTTGTACAACCAGCAAATCACTTACTAACATACATACCTCCACATGTGTTTCATCAATTTTTCGTTTCTGGTGGCGTGTCATCTTCAAGCTCGTGACCTGAAACCAGCAGACAGTGTTAGCGAGGATGATTAAAACAAAGAGTCAGAGTTCGGAAATCAGACAAAGATAAATGCACAGGAACAGGATAACATCATAACATGTTGTAAGATCACAACTGTACAGGGAGTTAGGATACGAAATGAATGACTACCTTGTCTTCCACTTTTTCATCTACGGCGCACTCAACTGAATCAAGGTCTAATTGTTCCAGCTTCACCCATTCATCCAGCCTCCTATTAACTGCAAGTTTCAACATAACTACGAAAATCAAACACTCTCCCTCCAACCTTTCTTATTAACATTATCCAATATCTAAAATTGGCAAAATTTTGAATTAAACTGCAAATCATTTCCTACAATTTCAATCAATTGTCTTCGTCCACACAATCAAAGGTTAGAGACACGTAGAAAGACAGTCAAAACCAAGCTAAGAAAACGAAATTTTGCGATCCAGCCCCCAAACCCTAAATCAGATCGTTAGAGAGGACGAAACCACATACACTCTGTGTAATGAACGTAATACTCGTAATCATTCTGGCCACCGTGATGAAGCTTCCGGCGCTCGATAACCTTCACGGGATGGTACTTGGAGTCTCTCCACCGACACATGACGCGAGTACCCACCTCGAGCGGAAGCACTCCCGCTTTCCTCTTCTTCAGCGCATCCGATTCCGTGATCATTTGATCGGAGGCAGCAGACGAGAGAGACAGTGGAGGTACGTCGCCGCCATTGGTCGCCGGAGATTTCCGATTCGATGGCGGAGAGGCGGTGCCGTTCGTCTCTGGGATCGCTGAGGATCCCATCCTTTTGTTATGGGTTTTGTCTCTCATCCGATTCGCGTTTTAGATGTTAAGACCGTAGAATTTTTGCCTTATTGGGCCTAGTGATCATATTATTGGCCCAAATAATTTCTCTCTTATAAAAACCCAAATAATATATTTTTTTCTTCTTTTTTGGGTGAAAATATATATATATATTATAACCAACATGGTTCTCCGGACCTTCGAACCGACTACATCCATCCTAGACTGGGATCAGCCTTTGTATATAGACCATTTTGCTCCAGAAATTATATCTCTCCCTAGTAAAATCGAATCTAGAACTTTGTGAATAATTTTGTCAACTCGATAGATTTACATTGTCACTTTTGTAAAACAATGTAAATCTAAAAATAACATAACTGACACCTAAATAATTAAATTTTGGTAGAATGAGAACATAAATCTAGGCTAGTGCGTGTGCGTGCATGGAGGAGAAGAAAATAGGCTAAATAGCCAAAACCCGTGACATGTGGGGAACAGAGCCAACTTAAAGAGGGGAACCCTCTAATTAGATTAGAGTCTCTATAATTTGGTTACTTTCACATTATCACCAAAATCCAAAACGGAACTCACTAACTTCCAAACCAAAGACATCGTCGTCACTCTCCATTATGTCTTTGAATTCTTCCCCTACATTCACACTCTATTTCGTCAAACCCTATCTTCCTCTTTTGGCCTTCAATTATTACGTAGTTTTATTTATATACAAAAAACGACTTGACTACGTACCAAGTTCAAAATAATAATTATAATTTCTTCGATATTCATATTCTATGATGATTAATGAAAAAAAAACGTTTCACATTACATGGGTGTGTACGTGATGATTTTTAAGGCGGGAATGGTAATGGGCAATGTTTCTATCTCCCTATCTAGTAAAAACGGTCGTATTCATTGCATATATTGTGTTATAAGTATTATTTAAGGCAAAATATGTTCCCACCAATATTTTTCATTCACCATTTGTGTATTATATATATACATATACACAAGACTATACACTTTGCCCTCGGATCCAAATTAAACAATTGAATCTAGAACCCTTTTTTTTCTCAAAAAAAAATGTCTAAACTAATCGTCTTCCTCTTTGTTCTTGCATTATCATGGTCATCGTCAACCATAACCCTAGTCAAATCCGACATGAACACCATTAAGACAACCTGCTAGAACACAAAGTACTTCGACCTCTGCGTCTCTGCTCTCAAATCCGATCCAAGAAGCTCAACTGCCGACGCGAAGGGCCTCGCCGGAATCATCGCCGGAAACGCCACAGCCACCGCCAACGCCACCGCCGCGTATCTCTCCGGCCAACTCTACCGCTCTGTGAACGACACCGTTTTGAAGAAGGCCGTCAAAGAATGTGGAGACAAGTACTCACTCGCCGCCGATTCTCTCCGGCTCTGTGTTCAGGATTTGGTCGATGAGGATTATGACTACGCTTACATTCACGTCACGGCTGCGGCGGAGTATCCTAACAGCTGCCGGAATATTTTCCGGCGTAGCAAGGGCCTGGTTTATCCGGCGGCTATTCGCCGGAGAGAGGAGGATCTGAAACGCATTTGTGTCGTTGCGTCGGGCATTATTGATAGTCTTGGTGAATGATTTTCCTCCTTTATATAACTTGTAAGCTTTATGTTTTTAGTTTCATTATAAGTTTAATTAGTTCCAATAAGGTTTTTATTTTATAATTTAATCATAATTTTATGAATTTGATTTTGGAATTAAAATCCGAAATCGCCATCCTCAGAGACCAGTTTTACTGTTTCCGACCTCACTAGATAATGTTTTTACTGGCTGTCTTATGGTTCGGACATGCTATAAATATCTCAATCAATCAATCAACCAACAACTGCACCAAACATAAAGTTAATTGTCATTATAGGGTAAATGCACAGAAAAAATAATATAATATTTCAGGTGATCGGGAGAAAATCATTATATATTTAAACCTAAATTGTGTTCATACGTGATTTGCGCAACGTACGAAAAACTAAAGAAAATTGGATATTACAATCATAGGTTATACGAAGCAAATCAAATGCGGCTTATGTGTGTATACGCACGAACATATATATATAAATATATATAACTTTTAATCCTTTTTTATGCTACTGTTGTTTCCATATTAATATCTATTATTCTTGTGGAAATCTTTAGGTTAGTGCTCGTAGGTCCAAGAATTTTTATTCGAGAATAAAATATCACTAGTAAAATTATATTATACAGTCGAGTCATATTCGAATTATGCAACCGACAATTTCTGAAGTTATCGTGCCTTTTTTTTTGGGGAATCTAAAGCTTAAATTCAGAACATCAAATAATGATGTTGCACCAAATAAAAAAATATCAAAGGAACATAAAGAAAAATCTTGCAATGGGGAAATGTCTAATCAAATAGGGGATCTCCCCCAAACTCTGTTGGTTTGAGAGTCCACTTCCTGAACAAGAGGTCGTGGGTTCAACACCCAGGGTATAGAGATTTCCCCTCCGGCCACCTTCAGGTGCTTCACATCCCACACGTGTGGTGCCGGTTGTGCGTGTGGGTCGGGATTAGTCTGGGTCCTTTGGATCTAGGATTACCCGGTTATCAAAAAAAAAAAATGTCTAATCAAATAAATCTACGGCAATCTTCTATTGTTAACCCAAGAGATGGACGGTCAAGATTCAACCGATCGATTGATGGACAAAACGGTCATTGGACATGGAAACCTGTGTTTCGCGCCAAAATGTGCCGAGTACGCGCCACAGCGACAGTCATACTCCTCTTCGCTTATTCTTCTTCGAAGGTCGAATAAACCAAAACCCTAGAAATATTTCGTTATTTTTCTGAGAAAACCTGATTGCTGCGCAGGAGAGATACGATGAAGGCAGGAACATTGCAGATAAATTGGCATGATGGGAAGCCGGTGCTAACCCTAGATTTTCACCCGGTTTCCGGGTTACTCGCCACGGGCGGAGCCGATTTCGACATTAAGGTACCGAATATCTGTAGCTAGTTCCTTGTGTGTTAATCTTCAACGTTTTACTGTTTTCTGCTCAATTTTGACAGTTTTTTTTGCTAATTCGCGGTGAATTTTGAATTTGGGAAATCTTGGTTGTTTGAGATTTACGAATACGATGCTTGATTTTGTCCAAAACCGTCTTCTTAGACAGTGAATCATTCGAATAGTAGAGAATTTCAGGAATTGGCTTCGTTTTTTCTGTTTGTAGGGTGTTGCCATCTCGGTATTTACTTATTTTTTAGGAATTCGAATTCGGGGTTCAACCAAGTTCCCCAACTATAAGCCCAAAATGATTTAATCTGTTTAGCAATTGAAATATTTCAGCTTTGGTTAATAAACTCGGGTCAAGCCGAGAAAAAGGTCCCCAGTGTATCATATCAAAGCAGCCTTTCTTACCATGGATGCGCTGTGAATACGCTTCGTTTCTCACGATCCGGTTAGTATTTGTTATGTTTCTCAGAAATTCTAAAGCAACTACAACTAAATTTTTGTATTTTGTTCATAACTGCATTTCATTTTCATGTCAGATTTTATCGAGCTGTAGGATTGTGTGATCATATGTGCCTTCTTGTATGATTCCTTTCTATATATCATGCAGGGGAATTACTTGCCTCAGGAGCAGATGGTATGACCGGAAACATATCTGATGGCTAGGTTTCTTCAGGATAAAAGGTTGTTTTGCACGTTCTAAATGGGCAATGGAGCCACTCACTCAGTTTTTGGCGTTCTAGTGCAGGAGGCGAGCTTATCCTATGGAAGCTACATCATAGTGAAACCAGCCAGACCTGGAAAGTGCACAAGTCTTTATCGTGAGTTCTTAGATATACGATTACCACATTTCCAAACTTGTTGAATTTGTGGTTGGTAGAGGTTTCTCCATGAAGAATCCTAGCTGAAATCCTATGCTAACCTCATTTCTAGGCATTTGAAGATAAGGTTAATAATGCACTACTAAGATGTGAGAACGATTCATCTTCTGTCGGCTTGTAATATGTTGGAAAGAATATGACATTGGTGCAAGAAGTCTAAAGACATTGTCAAATAAAGCTTATTAAGCAGATTCCTTCTCTGTCTCGAAACAGCCGTCTTGTGTGAAGCATAAACGTAAGCTAAGGCTACAAACATCTCTTTACGCCTTTTGTTTTTTCTGCTAGATTTCATCGGAAGGATGTGCTCGATCTTCAGTGGTCTCCAGATGATGCTTTCTTGATTTCTGGATCAGTGGATAACTCTTGTATTATATGGGATGTGAACAAAGGTAAGAAAGTAGATCACAGATAATTTCTTTTCATTTTGTTTGTAGATTCTCTGCTGCTTAATGTTTTCACGTCTTTTTAAGGTTCCGTCCATCAGATACTGGATAGCCACTGCCATTATGTTCAGGGCGTTGCCTGGGATCCCTTGGCAAAATATGTAGCTTCTCTGAGTTCAGACCGAACTTGCCGCATTTATGTGAATAAGCCTCAAACAAAGAGTAAAAGTGGTGAAAAGATGAATTATGTTTGTCAACATGTAATTGCAAAAGCAGATCAACAACAGGGAGGTGACACTAAGGTTAGAGAGGAACTTATCTTTATGATTTATTGTGAATCCACTTGCCACATTGTGCCTGACTTAGCAATCGGATGAGATGCAGACAATCAAAAGCCATCTCTTTCATGATGAGACATTACCTTCTTTCTTCCGAAGATTATCATGGTCGCCAGATGGGTCATTTTTACTCATTCCAGCAGGTAAGAAGCTGGATATAACCCTTGTAGATAGTCACACCTTCTGTCTAAAGCCAATTGTATAACAACTGAATTACCTTTCTAACAGTTATCTTTAGTTGTCAAAGTTATTTGAATTAATACCACTTGCCATTGCCATGTCACATTTGCAGGTTCTTTCAAACTTTCACCTGCATGTGATGCCGTAAACACCACGTATGTCTTCTCAAGGAAGGACCTTTCAAGGTAGGATAGTCGCTTTAACGTCTCTTATCTGGCAATGAAAAGGCTTCTGTGGCAAATTGTAGACTTTTAGGCCCTTCTTTAAGCTTAACCAGCAACCTCTTGATTGGCTGAGCTGAAAAGTATGAGACGATGAAGTTTCATGGTTAAGGCATTGAAAGATCTCTTATGCGCTCAATTTATTTGTTTTTTTTTCCTGCAAACAGACCTGCATTACAGCTTCCAGGTGCTAGCAAGCCTGTTGTAGCGGTTCGTTTCTGCCCTGTGGCATTCAAACTCCGGGGTTCAAACTCTGGTAACTAACATTTTGATTACTTTAAGAAAGAAAGTTAAAGCTTTTGAGGTATCTTGTGAATTCTATCTTTGCTTAATCGGTTTCTGGTGGTCGAAAACTTTCTTGCCCGCAGGTTTCTTCAAGCTTCCCTATCGACTTGTGTTTGCCATTGGGAGTCTGAATTCGGTTTACATATATGACACAGAGAGTGTTGCTCCGATAGCAGTTTTAGCAGGTCTGCATTATGCTGCAATAACAGATATGTCATGGTAATATCCACATTATGTCCTCATGTTATAATACTTTCTCCATATACATGTCCATAATTCTGAATGGTTAATAACCTTCATTTGTTTAAATAGGTCACCTAATGCCTCATATCTGTCATTGTCCTCACAAGATGGCTACTGCACAATAGTTGAGTTCGAAGAAAATGAACTTGGAGAGCCATTCTCCTCTTCAGGTCTGTCTTTTTTACCCTCCCTGTCTTCCTATTTTTCTTACAAGCTCTATTAACCCATCAATTCAAATCTCAGAAGGAAAGAAACCCGAGGAATGTGAAGAGAGAAGGTCGGTTATCGAGAAACCCGATGATCTGATGACTGAAGCCGGAGCAGATGATGACAATAAGAACCAATCAGAACCGGAGAGAAAGGAAGAAGCAAGGTCAGACGATGGCAAGGAACAACCAGAACCGGAGAAACAGCCATTACCGAGCAAAATTACCACAACAGCCCCAGAAAAACCGGCGAGGAAGCGAATCACACCAATGGCTGTAGACCCATGATGACAAGTTTCAGTCTCAAGTATGAATTTTAGGCTATTTGATCTCACTTGTGATTTTTGGGTATGCTTTTCTATGTTCCAATACGGCTTCCTCTGCCCACCTTACCCGGAGAGATTTTCTTGTGAAAACTTGGTTAATCCAATCAGAAAACCGGAGCCTAATTTACCAAAGGTACCAACATTACCGTATATTGTTTGTTTTGATTGGTATTGACGATAATAATTATAATAATAACCGTTCAAGGGGCCAACTGTATGACTAATCTCTCCCATAAAGATGAATTAATTCAAAAATAAACCGATTAGTGATGGGAATTGGACATATGATATGTTGTTTCCATGACCTCAAACACAAAGTCAAAAAAAGAAAGTTAACATCTAAGATAAAGAGCATATGGTTGGTTCTGTGGGTTGGGTTCCGACCAGTACAAAAGTGTGGAGAGAAAAAAAAAAGGAGGGGTTTTTTTTTTATAATGTTTAATGTCAAAGGTTGATTTTATGGGGAAGGTAAAAAGTGATACAAAGTGTTTAATTCCATCCCATTAATTCTATCGAAGCAAACGAACCACAAGTACGTTTTATAAAGTATGGCATTTCTGCTGCCCTAATTTCCCATGTGTCTATATATTTCAATTGTGTGACAAACAATCATACTTTGAATATGAAAACCCATTGACACTAATTATACACATTTTTCATCCTACACAGATATATGTATGTATGTATATATTGTAAGAGATGAAATGTGTGCCATATATATGTACGTATGACGTGATTTGCTGTGTTGTATTCCTATAAAAAAAAAAACAATATATATATGAACATAGAAGGTGATACGTATAGACGCGTATGTATGTATGTATGTATGTATAGACGGACAAAAGAGTCCACAATAATGATAGCGCTGCTCAAATAGGGTTTCCCTCATTGCGTCATAGTTTTTATTCCCGGAAAATGCCCGGCCAAACTTGCACACAACCAAACATAACAGAAGATCATATTATATACGAACAATACATACAATATTACAAATAAATAACATTAAATATGCGGTGCTGCTTAACTCAATCTAACCGTTGTGATTATTCCACGCCCTTCCGGTCAACCATATCCTAACAAACAAACCCTTATACACGTTTTTTATAATATATATGAATATATATAAACACTTTTCCATAATTGCGCCATTTCCCCACTAATCAAGCCACTTAATTTTATTCATCCAAGTAGCATACACTCACACATGTATGGAAGAATAATGACCTCTTAATCGAGATATCAGAGCAAGCTTCCTCCGCCGGCGAAGTCCGCCGGAGAGAACATGGACGCGGCGGCGGCGGATGGAGGAGGCGGTGGCGGAGGAGGAGGGTTGCCGGAGTTGTTGTGGAGGATCTTGATCTGTCGTTTCAAGAACTTGACGTAGCGGATGGCTTCGTCGAGCATGGAGGCAGTGTCCATCTTGGTTCCTCCGGGGACGAGCCTCTGCAGGATTCGTATCCTCTCGCTGATCCTCTCGCGCCGGTGACGAGCCGCTACGCTCTGAGGATCGTCGGAGATCCGTACGTTCCGGCGCTTGGGCTTCTTGACGGTGGCAGGATCGATGTCGACTGGTTGCATGGCCGCGATCTTGTACATCATCTCCTTCATCGCCCCGAGCTCCTCCTCGGGCTCTTCCTCGTCTTTATCCTCTTCCTGTTCGCCGGAGAAAAAGGGCGTTGCCGGAGCTGGAGAGGAGAGATGATATTGGAAAGGAGGGAGAGAGGAAGAGGAAGAAGAAGAAGGCCAAGTGCTAGACGTGATATGGCGATGAAGATCATGTTGATGATGGAGGTCGGTCGCGTGATGATGATCTTCCATGGCCATGCCGATTAGATCGTTGTCGTTATTATGATTATTCTTGGTGTCGTCGTTGATGTTCCAAGTGTAGTTGTGGAAGAGAGATGGGTTGATATTATTATTATTTTCATTCATGGTTTGTGGGTTTGATCTTATTTTTTTATGCTTTTGAGATGGAGAGAGAGAGAGATGAAGATATTTGGCCTCTAATATTGTTCTTAAGGCAGCTTCGGAGATACATATATAGTAATATATACTCTCACACACATGTGTACGTGCATATATATGTGTGTGAGAGTGTACGTATATAAGTCCCATTTTTTAAAGTGAAAAAAAATCATGATCACATGATTAATTAGGGTTTAGGTTGGTGTGTCTTTGGGCTAAAGATACAGAGAAATTTTCGGAGAAAACATTCCGAAGAATTTATATGTATTATTTCCTCTTCGAAAATCATATACTTCTAAGTATATATTATATATGTTTAACGCTATCGATATACCATATATCAAATCCCAATTGATTTGCTTGCAGAAAGACTATGGAAGATTAATTTAATGCCTATTGGACGTTCCGTTACAAAGAAAATGTTATTGGAAATGATAATCTACAAAAGTTTAGATATATTATTTTATTATTGTGGAAATATATTCACGTTCCGTTAAAAAGAAAATGTCACCAGAAATGATCATGTACAAGAGTTTATATATATCCATAAAATCCAAAACTTTGCAATTATTACGCTGATTTCGATGTATTTTTTTTTGTTGTTGCAAATTTCATTTTTTTTTTATGGAATGTAATTGATGAGATTTTTACTTTTAATAATCCCTAGACATTAATTTCTATGCTTATTGACTCTACAATTCGTGACAGGTCGTAAATGGCACCGCACCAGGCTCTGTTCATGATCTCATGCGTTGCATGTGTTAGAAAATAGCCAACCAAATATGCACAATATATGTTTTTGTTCTTTTCGACATTATGTCGTTAAATTTTTTATATAAATAAATATTACCGATTCTCATGAAATATTTAGAGTTCGAATCATCTATATGTCCTAAGATTGGTGCGGACTAAAATTATTTATGGTAGTTCAGAAATTACAGAGAAACAGATAACCTCTCAAACGAATATTACTAATATATATGTCACTAAACTCTTTAACTGTACAAAATTATTTGTTACATATATATCATGGATCGTATAATCGATTCCACAAAAAAAAAAACATATAATCAGAATCGACAATAGAAACCCTTTTGTACGTGAGTGAGTAAACTCTAATCCGCATCCTCAAAATATTTTAGGGTTTTTTTTCCTAGAGAGAGAAACACTTTAAGACTCTTTGGTTATGGAGGAAAACAAAAGGTGGATTCCACCATGGTTAGGATTTTCTTTACTTTATATAAGCATTAGCCGTTCTTAGATGCTCAGCGCATGTCGCAAGTTGTGCTGCTCATAATATTTCGACGTCAAGTCCAATCTCTCTCTCCCTCTCTCCTCTCTCTCTCTCTCTCTCTCTCTCTCTCTCTCTCCTCTCTCTCCCTCTCTCTCTCTCTCTCTCTCTCTCTCTCTCTCTCTATTTCACAAAACCACATACACCAAAATAGGCAATACAGAAGAATTTTCCATCGTTTCCTTGTCTCTCTCCTAAATAACACAACTTTTCTAATCTTCTGGTCATGGATTCCGATGAACGGCCGTGATTTGCGATTACGAAATCCAAAACCGATAAGAATGCACACATTATAGAGCGAAAACGCTTCTAGCAATCGATCGACGTCCATTCTCAAACCAAATAAATTATTATAATTTTTTAAATTTTATATGCATCGCATGTTCTCCGGTTGTCGATTTCCAGCTATAGTGTTATAAGGGGTGTTTTGATGTGATTAAACCTAAGCATCACTCATTAATTGAACAAGGTGGGGACATCTCCATCAAAATTTGGGCGTTACCCATGATGTCTTTGAGCTTTGTCTTTGATTAAAAAGTAAATCAAGATAATGTTAACGAGAGAGAAGACGTGTATCATCAGAAGACGTATGTTGAAAATATCGATTTTTTTTTCACCGACAAAATATTATCTTCTTCTTTCAAGTATTCGTTTAATTATTTATAGCTAATATATACGTATATATAAAACCCTAACACAATAAAATTATATATATATGTTATCAGAAAAAGAAGCAATCTAAAACAATGATTTCATGTATGTATGTATGGAATTAATTTCGAGCAAGGGGACAGAGTGTGTAAGAATTGCGGTAGATCTTATAAAAGCTTACACCTTTGTTAACCCTAGATTCCGGTTCTTGCGAAGCATAACCTAGTTTGTCCGTTACATATAATAATCTTGATCTTGTATGGAAGCTCACTTACAATCTAAGAACAAATTATATATATATATATATATATACACACATATTATACCATGGCGCGATGATGAAAAGTCTATTAGGTCATTATTCTCAATCCAAAAGCAATGTAAACGTACAACATACAAGAGATATCACACACATTGTATAGTTTTTTTTTTTCATATGTTACAATGATTTGTGTATTGCCTTAAGCAATTTGCGCATGCGATCTTCAATCATGCTAGGGTTTCCCCTTTCGTATTTCTCCCTACCTCCTTACATATCATTCTTATTAAAGCTCCCCAACTACCAACTGCATATATATATATATATATATATATATATATATATATCCGCACACGCATATATACATTCAATAAAAATAATTTGCGTATCAACGAAAAGTTTCGGTTACAGTTTTTTTAAAATTATATAACTAAGTATAGTAATTTTAGCTTTACATTATGCTGCCCAAAAAAAGATCTTCCATTAAAAACTCGCTACTAAATCAGCTTGTTTATTTCTATTTGATAAAGAGACAAGGAAGGAATGGGTAACATGATTGAAATTATGCGCTATAGGACCACGAAAAATTGTAAAGTCCAATTAGTTCATGAATATGAAAATATACGAAAATAACCAAATTCACCCTACTCTTTGATGCCAACTGTCTTGTATCTCTTAGTACATCAGTACTTTTGGTTCGGCTTTTGTCCATCTCTAACCATTATTAGGCACTTATTTAAGTATTTACATTATAATCTGAAATTAGTATAACTAACAATGCAAATTAGATTATAAAATTACGTAAATTAGATGGTGTAGTTACGTCCATTTCGCCACACTTTTATCTTGAAGCCGCCCCACTCACTTAAAAAAAATTACGATGACATATCGCAACATTACAAGCCGTTATATATATATATATATATAGAAGGAAAATTATATTTAGTGACGATGTAATAAAAGTACGCGTGAATTTCAACAACAAAAAATCACCGTTATTAAAACACGAGTGTAATTACGGCCGCAGTCGTTTTTTTTAAATAATTTGATAAAAAAAAATTATAGAATTTTCCGCTAACACGTGTGTGCGAATTCAGGCAGCGACCGACTCGTGCCGTTTGCGTTGTCGATCGTTGCAATGTGACGATGCTTATTCAATCATAACTCGACAAGATTTGGGTCACTAGTTGCAATTCTTTATATGGTTTCGGTTTTTGGTCTAAGTACCGATATTGTGTCCCACCGACCGAGGGTACGGTCCAATGTGGTTATGTTATACCATAAAGAGCCAACATAACATAAATTAGGGCTCCGCTTTGATATGTCACGATCTTATGTAATAACGGACACATTGATTAGTGGATTTGAGTTCCCATGATTAAAAGAAAACAAAAAACAATGTAAAAGAAAACGGAAAAGGTGGTAGAAAAATTGACCCATCATTGATTACATTCACATTCTTGACATATACACATGCATATGTGTGTTTATATATACGTACTTACGTTAAAAACCTATACGAACATACTTTTGTAACATAGGAAAAAATTTGCAGGTGAAACTCATTTTTAATGAAATATTAAAAGGTATTTATGACTTTATTAATGAAAGTTTTTTTAGGACCGACTAATACCATTTCGCTCTCACTCTTCATCGGTCGATCAGACCTATCCCTCGAATACATACATACATACATACATACATACATACATACATACATACATACATACATACATACATACATACATACATACATACATACATACATACATACATACATACATATGCTGACACAAACACTTATATACACACACATATATACACATGTATATGGTGAGTATATATATATGTGTGGGAGGGGCAAAGTAAATATGTGTTGCGTAAGGAGGGGCCTACAGATTTGGGATAGCTGAGGAAGAGGCAAAACATGTTAGGATGAGAAATCTGACATCCACTCGTATCCAAATAACCATACAAACCCATAAGAAAAAAAAAACATTATATGTAATAAAAAAATGTTTTTATATTTATGAGATCAGACTACTATTCCCGAAGCCTCCTCATAGTCCGGTCTTTTACAGCGACTTTTTCCCCCATCTTTTTTTTTATAGGAAACAAAATTGAATTCAATGCGTAGGATTTGTAACAAAAAAATGTACTTTCATTATAATGTGTATTACTCCCTATGATACATGCATGCAACTACATATAAGAGAAAGTGTAATCAAACTAAAGAACCCATTTGCACGTTATAGTTTTTAACATTTTGTGTGTCGATTTTTGGTTGTGATCCTAAAATTAGGAAGATTTATATTAGAAGATTATATATATATAATTATACCAAAGTGCTTATTATATTAAATAAGTGCGGAGAAAGAGGAGTGTGAAGAAATTGATAATGATGATGAGATGATGATGATGATGATGATGATGATAATAATAATAATAATAATAATAATAATAATAATAATAATAATAATAATAATAATAATAATAATAATAATAATAATAATAATAATAATAATAATAATAATAATAATAATAATAATAATAATAATAATAATAATAATAATAATAATAATAATAATAATAATAATAATAATAATATAAAAAAAAGAGGGTTTCCGAATGAGCAGAAGAAGTGAAAAAGTGGAGAAATCTCTTGTTTGGTCCGAAAGTGTTCAAAGGAAATCTATTTAATGTGTTGTTACTTTCCTTTTACGAATTGGACAATGACGAGACAGTGGCTTTCCTTTTGCATTTCGATAATAATTCGAATCGATTTATCATTGTTGTAATGGACCTACGGTTAGGGTTTTCGCCCCCTCGTTTGTTTTCATACTTTAGAACCAAATATTTTCAACCGAAACTCACACTAAAATCAAAGGTTAAGGATGTCTAATTAATGTAAATGTTCTGAAACCCAATAAAGATTATATAACTTAATTTTATCTTAAGAAAGATTCGGTTCGTGGTCCAAACCAACAAGACGAGAAGTCAACGAATTTGGCTATTTCTTTCTATATGTGTTTTGTTTGGAAACAATAAACTTATATATTCACATAAATAAAATATAGTCAAAACTTTGTAACATTTTTTTTTGGTATATCAAAACTTTGTAACATCCTTAAGAGTTGGAAAAATGCCTATTTAATTACCTAGAAAACGAGGGGGGTTGATCATTTCGTAAATGGGCCTAAATCGGCTTTTGAAAATATTTACGATATACAAAAAAAAAAGTTTATGAAATCGTTGCTCAATCATACTAAACACACGGAGACAAATACAATGACATCTAATCAGAGCCCAAACGTTATAGAGGCATTTAGTAAATGGGCCTAAATCGGCCCAATATCTAAAAACAATACATAATGGGCTAAGCCCAAAATGGAATAGATGGACTTTCCTAAAACTGGTCATGGTTTTTTTTTTCACTGGCGGTTGGACATGGCATATGATCCAGGGACTTTCCACAAATTAAATAAATGGTAGCTTTGATTTTATCTTGAACGTGAACAACCTTTTTATTTTTTATGGATTAATCTCAATTTTATTTTTTACTGGAGTCGGGTCTCAACTGGTCCGAATCCTGAACCGGACCATCTCTTGTATCTCTCCCAAAACAAAGTAACAAGCCAGAAAATTCCAATCTCTCTCTCTCTCTCTCTCTCTCTCTCTCTCTCTCTCAATGTGCGCATTTCACAGTTTCCACTATGAACCGTCCGTGACTCTGGTGGCCACGCCTCTTCTTCCCACCCGTGATCCTCTTTCTCTCTCCCTCACATTCAATTATTCTTAATTCCTTTGATTTTGATTTTTCTGCATTTTCTCTGATTGCCCAATTCGATTAATCCTCCTCCTACGCAATATATAAACCCCCTTCCCCTCCAATGGCTTCTCCGAAACTCCCGCATTCCCTCTCCTCCTCCTCCGCCTCCCCTTTCGCTCCATCCGCCGTCAAATCTCACCGGAAAAAGTCCCCCTCCCGCTGCTGCTGCTTCATCATCCTGGCCATGTCCACCGTTCTCCTCCTCTTCTCCGTCTTCTTCTTTTTCTCCATGTCTCACTCCTACCGCCACAGCCGCCACCATCCCCCCGCCTTCCGCGAAAATTCTCCGCCGTCGGCTCCCCCCGTCGCTCAGATCCGACTCGCCTGTAAGGCGACTCGGTTCCCGGACCCCTGCGTCGCCTCCCTCTCCGAACCGGGTCGGGTCCCTCCGGATCCGAACCCATCCAAGATCATCCACTCCGCCATCGCCGTCTCCTTCGACAATCTCAAAATCGCTCAATCCAAGGTCAAGTCCGTCCTGGACTCGTCCGCGGCGAATCCCAACCGCACCAAAGTCGCCAACACGTGCCTAGAGATCCTCTCCTACTCCGAGCACCGGACCGTATCGACGGACGAGGCATTGGCACGTGGCAAGATCAAGGACGCTCGCGCCTGGATGAGCGCGGCCGTCGCCTACCAGTACGACTGCTGGTCCGGCCTCAAGTACGTAAACGACACGGAGCAGGTCGGCGAAACGATGTCGTTTCTCGACGGCCTCGTCAAACTCAGCAGCAACGCCTTGAGCATGATGGTCTCTTACGACAACTTCGGAGACGACGTCGCCTCGTGGGTCCCACCCGCGACAGAGCGGGACGGGTTCTGGCAGAAGGCTGGGCCGAGTGTGGACCCGGGTACTGGGCCGAGACTGGGCTTTCCGTCGGGCTTAACGGAGGACGTGACGGTGTGCAAGGTCGGAGGTAACGACTGTTACAAGACGGTGCAGGAGGCCGTTGACGCGGCGCCTGAGAATAACGGAGGGCGTAAGTTCGTGATACGGATTAAGGAAGGAGTGTACGAGGAGACCGTTAGGGTTCCGTTTGAGAAGAAGAACGTGGTGTTCATCGGTGACGGGATGGGCAAAACGGTCATTACAGGGTCGTTGAACGTTGGTCAACCAGGGATGACCACGTATAACTCTGCAACTGTCGGTGAGTTTTTTATTGTCCCCCTAATGAGTAACGGCATTTTCATTACGAAGCTCGAAACGAACAAGAGAAAACAGAACAAACATTCCATCCTCCCGTTTTGAAATTAGTTCCGTAAAGGATTTGTAGATATTATATATATAAAAAAAACAATTTAGATTTTAGGGTTTGTGAAAAAAATTCTGAGGTTGCCAAGTTAGATAAAAAAAAATACAGGTTTGTTTTGGAATTTTCTATAAAAAAAATTTAATATTTTTATAAAAACTCTTAAAGCTTCGAGTTTTGACTTCTTGTCTTTTAAGACAATAGAATGTGAACTCCATGTGATCTATATTCATTCATGAATAGAATATAGGATGGTTTTGAGTTATAATTGGTTCGAATATAAAAAGTTTTTATGAACTTTCTTAGCGGCGAGAATTGCTCAGCTTCGAGTTCTTGATTCGTATTAATTTGTTTCTATTGACACGTTGCATGTTTGGGTTTTCGTAGGTGTGCTTGGCGATGGATTCCTGGCTCGTGATCTGACCATCCAGAACACGGCCGGACCGGACGCTCACCAGGCAGTGGCGTTCAGATCGGACAGCGACTTCTCCATACTCGAGAACTGTGAGTTTCTTGGGAACCAAGACACCGTCTATGCTCACTCCCTCCGACAGTTCTACAGAAACTGTCGGATCCAAGGCAACGTCGACTTCATCTTCGGCAACTCCGCCTCCGTCTTCCAAGACTGTCAGATTCTCGTCGCCCCGAGGCAGAGCCAACCGGAGCATGGCGAGAACAACGCCGTCACTGCCCACGGGAGGATCGATCCGTCTCAGTCCACGGGCTTTGTGTTCTTGAACTGCTCGATAAACGGGACGAACGAGTACATGACGCTGTTCAAAGCAAACCCTAAAGTGCACAAGAACTACTTGGGAAGGCCGTGGAAGGAATTCTCGAGGACGGTGTTCATCGGGTGCAACTTGGAGGCATTGATAACGCCCGACGGGTGGATGCCTTGGAGCGGGGATTTCGCGCTGAAAACGCTCTTTTACGGGGAGTATAAGAACACGGGTCCGGGTTCAGACACGAAGCATAGGGTCGCGTGGAGTAGTCAGATACCGGACGAGCATGTCCACGTCTATTCCGTGGCTAATTTTATTCAGGCCGACGAGTGGGCATCCACAACTGCTTGATCTATATATCACGAACCCATCAACCGGTAGTGTTTGGTGTATGGTTCATAGGAGTTTTTAAGTGTCTAGGGACTATAATCCTAAAGAAAGAATTCATCATTGTACCTTCTGTAGTTTTTACTTGACCAAAAATAACATAAAGACACCTTCCTTTCCATCACCTTCTGTGATATCAAAATCAAAATAAAAAAAGGGGACCCCACAAATTGGCGAAAGGAATGAGATGTGAAAGGGAGGAGTTGTAGGCTATTAGTGCACGTCGAGATTTTCTTGACGTAGAAGAAAGGAGACATCATATCAGCCATTGATACCATTGTTGTGAAGCAGTTGAGGATATGGTGCAGAATAGGTGAGGGTCCTTTCGTTTTCAAAGAGGTGGGGTTATGTCAAATATTTGAAACCTAAAATAGCCATTACACACTGTTAACAACCCCCGGACTAGGGTTTTCTTACAAACAAACAGCTTTCACCTAATGACTAGGAGTAGACATGGGTTCCACTACACGCATAGATTCTCCGGGTTTGGTAGTAAGCCCATGTGCGAAAAGTCTATGTCTTTACTCCAACTAAAACGTCTAAAGCTTTATTTTTTACTTCTGAAACATATGGCAATCGCAACAGAGGAAAATACATGGCCAAAAAATGTGATATTTGATGGCTTACAGTGACGAGTCTACCATCATAGTTCGGAGTCAGAGCTCTTCTCCTCCTCAGGTGGTGCGAGCTGCCGAGTGAGACGGGATCTCGCCCATGGATCCAGAGGCACTCGAGGTGGCGGTTGAGGTGTTGCTGGTTTCGATTGCCTAAGCTCGTTCTCTCTGTCGATAAACCTGTCCAAAGGATGGCATTACACATTCAAAAGCCTCAATTCACTCAGACAATAATTAGATCCAAAGATTACAATCCTCATCTCCTACTAACATCCAAACTAACAAGGTATAATATGAATAGAACATCAAGGGCATTTAAATTACAGATATGTAGTGTGGTGTGTGTACATGCCACATAAATGCAACTAACGAATATGAAAATTCCATGGAGCCAACTAATGACACTTGCATAACCCATAGATTTGTTATTGCTTGTAACTATAAAAGAACCACTACTTTCTAGCGTCTTGAAACTAGTTGTATTGATATTGTCAGCATTCCACCTACAGCTGAACCGAGCAGATAAGGGTGTGGATCCATTCAAGATTGTGCTTTACAGGTCACAATCACAAGACCAGAGGAGGTGGGATATTAGGTTAGCCCAGATAATTAATTTAATTAAAAACACAATTTTTTTGTAATATTAATTATTTGCCAAAAAAGCCTATCTCATATTCACATGATGGGCATTTCACATTTGTTGTTATTGCAGTACAGCTCTATTTCCCATTTGTGACAAGGTGAGGGGAATAAAAGAATAATTAGGAAACAGAATAAGCATTTACTCGATATAGGCCATCGGCGCAGCATCACCAACTCTTATGCGTGTGCGAAGCACTCTTGTATATCCACCAGCTCTGTCTCTGTAATGCATGACAAATGAAGGATAAAGCATATACTACTTACAATATAAATCTAACAAAACGGCAAGAGATTTGGAAATTCACTTGTATCGATAAGCCAATTCTGTGAAAAGTTTGTGAAGAACATCATCTCCCCGCACAAATCCAGCAGCCCGCCTTGCAGCGGCGAGGGTGCCCTGAAAATTTTCGGCGCCACAATCTAGTAACTGAATTGTAAGGGAAAAGACAAAAGAGAAATCATCTTGTAGTAGCCAGGAGCCCAGATTTGAACCAAAACATCAAAGCATTGATTTGACTCCAACAAGCTAATGTTTATTCCATGTTAACAAGGGCTTCTGAGCAGGATAGCTCAAAATCCAATACTCACAGGACAGGAGTTCCGACTAGAGAACAATCTACGATCTCCAAATTCAGATCTGAGAATACTATAAGACATAATGCCATATCAAGCCCGACATCTATATTGCCAGTCACCACCGTCTGATGCTAAAGATTCGACACACTGCAAGGATAGTTCAACATCAAATTTTGAATCTCATAAGTCAGAATTCCACAGGGAACCATTCAAGCACCCAGGGCTTCCATTCTAATATTGTGACAATCGGATCTCCATAGGTAACAGCTTGCATCTAAGAGAGTGACAGTGGTGACTAACATTGACACCAGAAAGACAGCAGGATCACAAGTGACTAACCCATACCTCTTTGCCAAGCTGAACCATATTATCAGCAAGACGACGGACCTCTTTAGCCTGCAGATCGAACATCACACAACTGTTAACATGCGAGTAATTCCATTGCTTCTACAAGCCAAAATTTTCTGAGCATTAACGAAAGAAGAACATTCAAACACTTTCACCAAAAAGAGGATCCATGCTAACTATCAAACCCCAGGGAATAAAACCGCAAAACCCGGGACTTAACCGTGTCAATTGTTAACCACTTACCAATCATCAAATATTACAAAAGAATCTCATAAAATTTTCAACTCAGTTTATCGACACCAGTCAACCTATATCCAGCAGTAAGAGCAAAGGCACTCGATAAACCCTAGAAAAACCTTGAAGGTATAAAAGGGAAAGA